TTATGAACATCGCTCAACATCATGAAAATTAAACCTTATTTTCAATAAGCAATCCTAGAAAAATATTTGGGGGTGCTTAACTTTTTTCCAGGTGTATATATATGCAGCAGGGAGTCTCGCCTTTTACAAGCACATGACCCAATCAGAGGCGTCGCAATCGGATACGCTGAGATGCTACAGCACCCCCACCTTTACCCATTTGATTTATATAGCAACTGTAAATTATGTTATGTTATTAATTTTCTGGGGGCATATCCCTAGACTCCCATCTTAGGTTAAGCTGCCTTTGGCAGCACAGGAGCTGCTTTTAGCAGCTCCTTATACTTTCAATCTCTCATTATAAAATCTACATTTCTAGCAACCCCATTTTGAAGCTCCTTCATACATCACTACCGATAACTAACTATGATACCGGCTGCACTTTTGGCCTTTGGTGTACCAATTCATTTGTATAGTTTAAAGCCAGATCTGCCCCAGAGCTCAGATGTTTGTGTGTTTTAACGAGGTTTTAGCTTGTTCAGCAAAAGTCAGGTAGGTTTATACTGACTTTCTTTGTACTTAAACTTTCTCGAGAGCATTAGAGCTTTCATGCAGTATATAGAGCTTTGCCTTAAACAAATTCGGTGTATTTTGTTTGTTTAGCTTGGATTTATACTGTCCTGGTCTCAGTGCATCATCAATATGCTTCAATAGCCAGAAAAGCTCCTGAATACTATAAGGTTCTGCTAAGTTGTAGTGAGATTCTGATTACTCCATGTTATGGTTTTGTGGCATTTTGAGCTAAACTTTAACTATCACGGTCCTCATCACCTGGGCTAGTTAACAAATGCCTCGAGGTTCTTTATAGAACACACTAGGAAGCCCCGGGATAGTTAAAAGTATCCATATAAATAGGTTCCGAAAGTGTTATGCAGAAAATATGACGAAAACAGAAGACAGGGGATATTGAAATAAACAAAAATGTACAAATAAACAAAATCTTTATTCATACAACAATGAAAGTCAGTTTTAATTGAACTGAACAATTTCCAGTTCACTGTTGATTTAAACTAGCTGCTGGGGCAGGATTTACGTTTGCTCGAGAAGAAAACAAAAGAAAGAATGATGATGAGGATGATAATACCAATCTGTTAGCTCAGACTAAGGTCTTAATGCGGTATCTCACAATCTTTAGATTACTTACGTTAGTAATCTTTTTAGCCGCAGCATAGCGGCTCATAGAATGGTTCTGAGTTATTTTGTTAAGTACAAACTTTTACCTCACAGCCCTGTCATCTCTTGACCAATTTGAGATCTAATTACAGTTTTGGACTCAGGGGGTCAAACCCTTTCAATTGATTTATTGATCATGCCCAAAGTCTTATAGACTAATTAATTCTAATCCCGCCTAAAAGAATTTCAGTTTAAGGATAGGCTGGTAGAAATCCTGATGAGTAATAAGATCGAATCGAGTATACGCGCGGTCCATTCTTGGTATTGCTGGCGCACAAAAATATAGCTAAGAAAAGGAAAAAAGAAAATATCTCATAAATTAATTTAATCTAATCCTGTCTAAAAGAATTTAAAATTTCGCAGCTATTGAGGATTCCTCTTGTTTTCATACACATCCGAGGGCAATAAACCTCCAACTTATACAAACTTGTACCACCCCTCGAAACGAGAATGACCTCACTTCAGGAGAGTGTAACACGTAAACAAGACCAAGAAGATTGGTGTGAGTGTACAAATACTTCTGCCTGTTTATTTTCGAGCAAAGACACAGTGGACTGTCTGATGTGTCCACCACAGGGAATCAAACCCCGAATTTTAGCGTTGTAAATCCATAAAATTACCACTGTCCCACCAGGGGACAAATGTAAAAGCTTTCTCCACTTGATTTACAAGGATTTTGTTCATTACGTATATTACACCTGTACAAAAAATTTAGAGAATTATGGTCGAATATTCCTGAATAAAGATATGTACTTCATTAGTTATGTCACGTTCAAATATGTTGATATTTCCAATCATACAGCTGATGTTCCACATTCTCTTTTGGCTGAATTGTCTAGTACATAAGTAGCTTACCCTTTGGCTTTGGAATAAATATTTACGGAATTTTTAGTAGCTATTAATAATGTAGATGGTCTATTGTGTTAAAAAAGTTTTTTTTATATTATTAAAAATTATAGTAAGCCTATGCTGTTTTTAGGAAACCCAAATGATGATTGTCAGTTTTTATGAATGGGAAGGATTCTTTTCTGTAGGTGTCTGTAGTGTGTTGATGATAAATTTCAACAATAAACAAACACCACAGAGCTCACTTGTTTTGAAATAATATAAACAAATGTACGTTACACTGTTGGTTATCACGGAATAGAGAAATGTTACTATCAAATTTGCAGTGCACCCACGGCCCTTGGATGCTGAGCATGAACCCGTGGATTTATAGTCTAGGCATGCTATCAGTTAGGCCATACCTAGCCCCACTCTCAAAGGGTTTTTCAATAAAATAATTAACACTTTTCTTATATAATTTGATAAGTTGTTTTAGTAAACGGTGAGAACTCCTATTTATTTCAGTACATTTGTATTATGTTTGTTTGTAGTTAAGCAAAAAAAAATACATGGTATCGAAATCCGTTTCTAACGTAATAGTTTCGCAGACATGCCACTGGGGGCAGTGGGGGGTACAACTCTATTAAAATCTTTAAGATTCACTAAACCCTCTATTCACAGGTCATGATGTCATACTCAAATTGGTTTTGCGGTATTTTACGAACACAGTTAGGCCCACTAATGGGAGGTTCTCGAATTTTAGGCATTGAAATTAATTTCTCTGAAAATTGCAACTATAT